CAACTTTCAATTAATTTACAAAATCGATTAACTTAGTACAAAAAAATGGTTTCTTTGGACGAACAGTAGAAATTTTTCAGATTCACACTATATTAGATTTACATAGTGATTTGCATCACATTACACTATGTTTATTCTTCTGTTGACTGGCGGATTATCAATTAAATTGATTTCATACATATATCCATTAACTATACATAAAAATAAAAATGCCACCTTCTTCTAAAAGAAAAAGAAAAGCCAGAAATCAGAATAGAAATGGTGAAGATCGATATTGTAATCCCAAAAAAGTTTTTCACACCTCAGTAATTTTAACTGATCAAGAAAATCTGGAAGATGAATTTGGTGAACTATATAATAGTGACGGAGAAGATGAGTTGGATGTTAGTAATAGAAAAGAAAGTAAAGATGATAGTTAGAATAAATATAATAAATTAAATGTTAGTGATTTAGAGTGGGGAGATGAAAAGATAGTGGATGGGATGATGCTAAGAATATTGAAACTGAATTTAAAGAACTCAACTTAATATGGAAAAATAACAGCCAATTAGAAAAAATAAAATGAGGTCCATATATGAAAGGCAGGACACCAAAGTCAACTTATTATGATAAGTATGAGCCAAATAGTATCTTTACTAAAGCGGTAGTTAGTACCAAAAAAATTACCAGTTTTTTTAATAATATTAAGATACAAGTTACAAATCTACAGCCTACCGAGTTAGATAAGGCCTCAAGCGATTTAGAAAGTGAAACTGACTCATATGTCTATAAAATAAATAAAAGAGCAAAAGATTTAAAAAAACAATTAGAACAAAATCATGGTACATTAACAGTTAAAGAGTATAATTATAAAAGAGCTATTTTTGAATATTTTAGTTTGTTGAGTAATAATAATGGTCATGGCAAAATTAAAGCTAGTTTGGAGGTTGCGCAGAAGGTCTTTATCGATGGTGGTGTGTGGAAAGCATGAACAATTCGATATTTTACAGAATACTGTATTAGTTACTTAATAATAAGCTTCCATCATCTAGACATGGAAAACATCAAAAAACAATTAGGATAATCGATGATGAAGATATTGAAATCAAATGCCATATTTGAATTAAAAGCCAAAATTTCAAAATTACACTTGCTATATTTAAAAAATTTATCGAAGATGAGTTGTTTTCTAGTGTTGGAATTTTGAAAAAAAAACTGTTAGTTTAAAGATTGCAGGTAGATGGCTCAAGGTTTTTAGCTATTCATTCTAATGACATCATCAAGGTATATACTATGACAGTTATGAAAGAGAAGATGTTTTAGAATATAGAAAAACTTTTTTAGAAAAAATATTTGAACATGAAAAGTATATGTCAAAATATGAAGGTGAATTTATGAAAAGGATACATTCTATTTTAAGTAACCTTCTTGATTTGCACCAGGTATCAAGTAACATCTTGCTTCTTTAGGTATATTAGGGTATCTTTCTATGTCAAATTGTTGTAAGTATAAACATCTATCAACTTCAGTAAGAAATTCACTAATCATGATCGATTTTCTATTTCCTTTTTTTCGTAGTAGCATCCTCCTGTCTTTAGTCTATACACTCCATTTACCATTATTTGAATAAAATCTATATTTGTTATGTACTACAAGAACTCTTTCTTTTTCTCCTTAAGGTACAAAACACCTTCTTGAACAAATTAAATATAAGGCAATTCCTATTTTTGAGATATTATGCTCGATTGTGTAGCTGTGTTCGCTTTTGACAATAGTTCTAATCATGGTGTATTTAGTAAAGATGTTTTAATTGCAAGTAGGATGAATCTAGGCCTAGGTGGAAAGCAACCAATTATGCATGATACTTATTTTGAAGAAAATAATCAATTACAATCGATGGTATTTCCAGAAACAAATTCAGATGTGAAGTTATATGAGGAACTATATGGTGAATTAGATAAAGAGCTTCAAGGCAAATCTAAAGGTATCAAACAAGTGCTAACAGAACGAGGAAAATAGCTATCTGAAGGGTTAGTTTTAGACTGTAAAAAGTGTAAAGAAAAGATCAAAGATACTTTAAGAGTTTCTTGCTGTGCACGCTGTGTATTATCTCTAGAACCTGACTTTCTTGCTCAAAAAAATGCAATTGAAGAACTAATTGAAGGCGTGGGACATAAATGCATCTTTTTTCTCAAATTTCATTGTGAGTTAAACTTTATCAAAAGATATTGGGGGCTGCTAAAAGGCATGCACGTGAGAATTGTGATTATTTATGGCAAGGGTTACAAAAAACTGTGCCAGAAAGTCTTGAATCGGTGCTTTTAATAACTATTAGAAAATTTTCAAGAAAATG